AATGATGGACTCCAGGTCTTTTGCGGTGTTTTTCGCTGACTTCTAACCCACTTGACCACGCGCTTTTCTCCCCCCCCTTTTTTTTTTATTTGGTTGCATTATGCTCGGAATGTGGCGTTTGGTCGCTAACGTTATTGTCGCGCGCGTAGACGCAAGCGGTGCGCCGTGCATCTAATGTTGCCGTTTGGCCAGCAGTGCTTGTCGGTCGGCTGTGCATGCCTTGCACGGCGTTTCGCTCACTTCTTCATGTTGAGTGCGTGCAACGTTGGGACAGCCTTACACGAGTAAACCCCCACCCCCCCGACCCCGAATAGATAGTCAAGTTGTCGTATGTTCAGGACGAAACGCTCAGGTCTTGTGCGGCGACTCTGGAGAAGCCGTTTGATTCCAGATAAAGAGAGGGACGACGGAAATGGCCAAACAAGCGAGGGGTGCAGGGACGATGCGTTCGCGAACAACCCGCAGAAGATTCCCAAAACGGAGTTCCGACCGGTGACCCCCGGCGGGTCTTTCGTCGGCGACGCCGGGGGCCCCGTGGAAGTGGTGGACCAAGATGGGTGCGCGGGTTGCGTGCAGGACCAGCGGGGTCCCCGCTCCGCGCAGGACAGCGACTCCAGGACGGTGACGTGCTGCTTATTTAAAGAGCGTGACCACTCCGAGCTCAGGGCTCCAGAGGCGGCCCCGGGTAGCAGGGACTTCGGGTCGTGCCACTTGGCGTTCAGGGGCCTCGGTCAGCGGGACGCCGGCTCCCCCGAGGCCGGCCAGGAGGCGATGCCGCGCACAGTGCACGAACAAGAACTCAAGTTGGCCACGCACTCGCTTCTAAAAAAGCTCAAGGAGAAGGCGCTGGATACTTTATTGGAGGCGGTGGAGTCTAAAGGCGGCCTCCCCAGCGACTGTGTCCTTGTGTCCCGGACTGAGCTGAGACTGGGTGGCCATGCGGCTTCCCCGCAGCTGCTTGTGTGTAAACTGTACCGCTGGTCCGACCTCCAGCACCCGGCCCAGCTCAAACCGCTCTGTGAGTGTAAGAGCTTTTGGGGCCCGGACAGTCCAACTGTATGCTGCAACCCTTATCACTACAGCCGCCTTTGTGGGCCAGGTAAGAACTCCTCTCGCTCATCCATGCGTGCGCAATTATCTACAGTAGTGCTTCACAAACCTTTCTACACCAAGTACCACAACCAAAAATGAAATACAGTACTGCCAACACTGAAATACAGTCGGGTAGTAGGTGCAAGTGTTCATCAAAAAAAAAAAAAAAACGGGACTCTGGGTTTTATTCCCTAAAAATAAGTATTGTTAGCATGATGCACAGTTTGAGCATTAACACCGCCCTTAAATCTAAGTATGAAAAAAATGACTTTTACTCTGCAGTTGCCGAACGAAATGTTAATAAAACAGCTGTAAAACATTAAATACTAATGTATTGGTATTCAAATTTGAATCCAACTTCGCCGTAATAAACAATTTTGTACAATTAAAGCTACTGTAAGACCATGCACAGTTTGAACATTTAATTCAGTGATACTTTTGTCTACCACTAGAGGGAGCCCACCAGTAGTACAGAATTACTGATCTGGAGCAGTGTTTAGTGTTTTTGAGCCAAGGAACATATTTTACGTTCTCGGGGCACACCATCACACAAAAATACGTATTCATGTGCATTGCCATCTAGTAGAATGTCATTTCATTATTTGACCTGCCACTTTAATATGGCATTGGCATAAATGGAGGAACCAAGATACATTACTTGCCGTAGATAAATCATTGGTGGACCAATGACATGAAATTGGATCGTTTCCAACAGCTCACCTGATGATATCTCATGGCACATTGTTTGGGAATCACTCATCTATATCTCAAATTTACGTATCTTTTGTACCTTAATTCATATGAACACACCTGATTTACAATTTTTCGTGGCAGACAGCCACTTTTTATCAGAAAATACAAAATAACCGCTCCTAATCTTGCATTATTACTCTTATGAATTTTGATGACACGTGAACTAACTTGTCTTCGCTAACTGAAGCATCACTGATTATTCTCATCACCTCTTTGCCCAAAGCGAACAATAACAATCTCACAGGAATAAAACCGGTAGATTTTAAGTGTCAATTTACTCTGCGTCTCCCAAATTCTATTGAAGTTATTCAGATGGGGATCTTTTTTTTTTTGTCTTCTTGGCTTTTTTTGTCTTCTGGCTAATGTGAATGTTCCGTCAACTTGTGTACTGCCTTGAAGTAAAGGATTTTGCCAGTATATGTACCAGAACGTCACTCACGCTGGCCTGTGACATATCGGCCTCACAATGACGCCGTGTGTTTGCCTCTTCCCGAAAAAATTCATGTTTTCATTGCATCCGTTCACTCGTGTCTGACTTTAGACTCTCTAACATGTGAGTCGTTTGGATTTCTGTATGTTATTCCCAACTTTTGTTGAAGTCAATTCCATTGAACGACCAGAATTATCATACTAATTGTATTTAGGAGAACCTCGGGCTATTGTGCAACCGTCGTGGGGCTCCTTGACTTATTGGAAACATTAAACGTCAGGCAGCGGGCAAGCCTGCATTTTGGCGAAACCCCCAACACCGGGGCCACTTGACCCCTCCGACGCCATGACAACGCACACTATCATGTGCAAAGATGCCAAGTGTCAGTATTTCTGTCTCCTCTTTGGCACAGGAGGTGGATTTTCCATAACATCCATGTTTACAAGCCAGCTGGCTGCTTTCGGCTCTTCAAAGGCATGCGTGCAACGATATCAAATTAAATGCAGGTCCTTTGTTGTGCACACACATACACACACAAAAAAAACAACGATTGGGTGTTTTTGTATTGTTTTTTGAGTCAATGACTTTAAAAAGACAAAGGTGGGAATGTCTTTCCTCTTGTCTTGTTGTCAATTTGCTTCCCCTCTAAAAAAAATAAAAAAACGGGAGCTGGATTTCACATGACACATTTCAGGTCCCGGGCTCGTAGTAGACATAGCTCACATGCGTTCATGCGTGGCCCGATAGAGATGGTATTTCTTTCATGCTATTCAAGGCCCAACTTTTGAATCCATATCTTAATCACTGGCTTGGACCTTGTTTGGGAATTGTAAAGTAAGATTCATCCGATTTGGAGATACAAGGGCTCTGTAAATTCTTCTCAAACCGAAAAGTCTTTTCAAGAAGATTTGAAATGGATTAAATTTTTTTTTTTTTCTCCCGCCTTTGTATTTGTTCGGGCATTGTACATTTCTAATGAGATCCGTTTCAAGTTGCGCCTTTAAAAGCCCTTTTGTCCTAAGAGGTCCCCCTCATGCGATTTAGGTGGAGGAGTGGTGATAATATAAAGTTTGCATACGACTGGCGCCAGACTGACTCGCCGTGTATATGACTGAGCTCAGATCCTGGCAATTACTGCCGCCACTCTTAAAGGACCTGCTGCCATTATGCGTTTCTCTCCTTCCCTCTTTTCCGTGGTGCAAGGTCATACACTTTCCTCCCTGCCCTCCTTGTGCAAAGAACTCTCCTAATTTCTCTTCTTTACATAAGACGAAATCATCCTGTCAGAAAAAAAAGCTCACGTTTACTTTCGGCGTCTGCCACCGCTCTTCCTGTAAGTTTATATTAAACACTGGCGCCGTTAGCGTATTAGCGCTCGGGGTGTTTTGGATCAAGACGTCGTTTGTCTTGTTTAATAGTGAAATTTTTATAAGCGCGACTGTTGTACATCATGTTCACATTTTGATTACCACTGTAATGCCTACACACAAAACTACGATATTAGATTAGCCGTGCACACAATTAGAATTCTACACTACAAGGTTTCTATTGGATCTTATTCGTGGCTCTGATTGTTTTTTGCCACACGTGCAAAGAAGCTTGTATAAAATTAGGATCATGTCCCAATTTTACAAAGATATACGCGGGTACTCCCGAAGGCCTGGCCGACACTATTTATTTTTTCTTTTTTGTTGGCCGCTGACAGTATGTGGCAGAATAAAATTCCGCTAACGAATTAATTAGCCGATAAAATAACTTTTTTTTTTGTGGTCCATTAATGCGTACAATAAGAAAGGTATTGATGACAGGCATCGCATTTGACTGTTTTACATAACTTTTTCCTTTAATATTTGTTTAAACTTTACAAGTGAGAGTAAACTCAACAAAAGTCTCCCTATTTTTTCCCTTTTTTTGGGTGGGGGTGATTGTCATTATTCGTCCTACAATGTAATTAATCGATCAGGCCCCGGCGTACACACCAAGGCTCTATGACAACAAACCTTATAGCTGTTGTCGAAACATAAACACACGCAGGTTGTATTTTATTCGACTTAAATACTTCATATATGGCATTGCTGTGTTTAACATCATGGATTTCATTTTGCAGAGTCACCCCCACCTCCATATTCGAGGCTCTCCCCTAATGAAGAACACAAGCCACTGGGTAAGTGACTCAGCCTCAGCCTCGCATGCCAACGCATGTCTTAATATACCTCTCACTCCTCAGCCTTGTTCTACAAACGACTTTATCAAGTTGTTTCAATCACGACTTTTATACAATTTAAACCCAAAAAGCGCCCGGGCCAGTCTCCTCCCATGCATCCGTTTTTTTCAAAAAGCGTGGCTTTAATGGCGCCGCGGTGAGTGCCTGCGCCTCGTATGGGCCGCCGGGCCGGCTAGCGCGAGACCAGCTGAGCGTTCTGGAAGCACTTGTAAGGGGGATGTCATCAGTTAAAGCCTGTTAGGGAGCCTGTGCTGTTATCTATTATGGGATGAAACTAATAGTCTTTAGTGGATGGGGAACATGATATTGACACCGGCAATGATGAATAGTAGCAGGAGAACGCCTGGAGCAACATTGCAGGGAGGCTGATGCACCTAATGAGGGGGCTAATTCCTCTTTCCTTCCCTGCAGACCTGTCAGACTCCACATTGTCTTACACTGAAACGGAGGCAGCCAGCTCACCCAACGTCACTCTGGGGGAATTCTCAGGTGGGTGTGCTCCTCCAACTGCCGTCAGTCTCCAAAGAAGGAGTTTGTTTTGGAAACTGTTCATAACGATTACCAGAAAAGAGAAAAAAAACAAAACCATCTGTACAGTTGAACAGGACAGTATTAAGTTATTTATCCGAGAAAGAATTGAGCGTGCCAAGGAAATTGATTCCGGTGACTTTGGAAAGAATCTCTAAATATGTGTGATTTGTGTGGTTGGTTGTGTAAGTGGTGCAATCTTTTTGATATTTTTTTGAGATTTTGTGTATTTTGTTCAAGTCTTAATATTATATGATTGTATATTGTATGGGCGGCCCGGTGGGCCAGTGGTTAGCACGTCGACCTCACAGTGCAGAGGTACCGGGTTCAATTCCAGCTGCGGCCTCCCTGTGTGCAGTTTGCATGCTCTCCCCTGGCCTGCGTGGGTTTTCTCCGGGTACTCCGGTTTCCTCCCACATTCCAAAAACATGCATGGCAGGCTGATTGAACACTCCAAATTGTCTCTTGGTGTGAGTGTGAGCTCAGACGGTTGTTCGTCTCTGTGTGCCCTAAAACATGCATGGCAGGCTGATTGAACACTCCAAATTGTCTCTTGGTGTGAGTGTGAGTGTGAGCTCAGACGGTTGTTCGTCTCTGTGTGCCCTGCGATTGGCTGGCAACCGGTTCAGGGTGTCCCCTGCCTACTACCCGAAGACAGCTGGGATGGGCTCCAGCACCCCCCGCGACCCTTGTGAGGATAAGCGCATCGGAAAATGAATGAACGTATGTTATATGTGGTGAGCATAGTTCCAAGTGCTAAACTTCATCCAAACTCTTGTGGACCACTACTAAGAGAGTGAAACGCACAGGGCCCAATTGCCTGACACCGATTTGTGTGTCTAAAGTCACATTTTGCAAAAGAAAGCATCATAGTTCTTTACGGTGTGCACCTTGACAACAACAGGTCAGAACAGTATTTGGCCCAGCTGCTGAGCAGGTGTGAATGAATGCAGCAACTGACCAGGTTTCATTTTGGCCTTGTGTTTTATTCCTTCTCATTAAAAGCTATTAAGAGCGTGAGCTGCCCAGATAAAGGTTTCATTCTAAGTAGCCGTTCCACAGGGTGTGCGGGCCTCCCCACCCTCTGTTTTCCTTTCAGAAATATTTGAGTGGGATAAAAAGCGTAATAAGAGCCGGGGGCTCATTCAGAAAGACACTCACGCACGCAGAACTTGGACACATGCGTGCGTGCAAACGTACGAGAGTCATTCTAGTGTTGCCGTCGTGGAAGGGAGGCTTGCGGGGGGCAAACCGCCAAAGGAAGTGATTGAAGCAAACAGACTGTCCTCTGATTTGAAATGAAACACGCCTTTCTGGTGACAGCGTGAGCTCACAAACCCGTCACCCCACCCGCCCGTCTCCGTACCAGCGCCGCGGGCGGCGTCACATCAACAGGGAGTACGTGCGAGCCCTCATTTTGACGTTTTGCTCGGGAGCACATTCATCGGAGGGTTGAGTAGCTGCTTACCTGGCAGGGAAGTATTCCGTCAGAGAGGCCTCGCTGCTCCTCTGGTCGACGGCTGTCACCACCCAGTGTGGCCCAGTGAGGCGACACTCCCTGAGTCAACAAATGAGGGGCTTGTCAGAGCGTGCACCACAATTCCTGTGAGACTGTGGTGAGCAGGGAGTCGCTAGACACGCGAGGCTTTGGTTTCTTTCCTACTGTGTTGCCGCTAGCGCGGGCCGCACTCGGGTGAGAGGCTGACCAGTGGACCAGAAGGTGGTGTTTTTTTCCGTGCTGTGCGCTAATTATTGAAGCCGCCCTGGCTTCCATCGTGTGTTTCAGCTTTGAGACTAAGGCTAAACGTGCGGCTTGTTTTTAACATGCACGGGCAAGCAATGTTCCCCGCGATGAGTCGGTTATGATTGAACAAGACATTTTTACAAAAGAATAGTAGGAGACAACAAGCAGCAGTTTGGCATCGTGAGCAAATGTTCCAAAAAAAAATCTGCAAGCTGTTGAATAACACCCCCACTTGAACTTCACTGTCAAACCAAACAAAGCACAGAGAAATACAGGTTGGGCATTGAAAACAACTGCATAACTTCCCCGAGCTTAATGCTAACACATAATGAGAACCGCCTTAGTTGGGCGAATGATAATAGTCAGGGTTATAACGCTTGAAAGAAATGGAAAAAAAACAAAACGGTTGTTTGAACACAAACGGTGCAGCAACACTTGTAGATGGACAGTCTAACAACACGCACCGGCGTAGATTCTTTATCCTCTGTGACACACGACTAATATTACTGCAGGTTACTGACAAGAATTAAGTGAACGTCTTCAGTTGTCTCTGAGACTGTTATAATGCTGCAGTGAATTAATCATGATGCACAAACTGTCTTATTATTTACGTTCGTTTAATACAGAATGCTTTCATTACGTTTGTGATTGTATCATAACATGATAATATGGGACCAAATAGAGTTACCGTGCATGTTGTCTGAAGGGCGATAATCATGTCAGTATTCACTACATACAGTATATAAGAAAGTGATGCATTATTCAATGAAAAACAAGGAACATGTGAAAATGTTCTTCTTTGCCTTTTCAACTAAACTTTAAATAAATATCTTAGATCAGGCTGGCTATCTGCCTTGGCACAAAAAACGCTTTTCTCCAGTCACCACCCCCGCGCAGCCCACACACAGACACGCATTACATGGAGAATGTTTTATTTGGTTTTTTTTTCCATGTACTCCTGCAAACAAACAAACAGATTAAAACATAACCTCCCCAGTGGAGCTAATGATGTAAAATATCATCAGGAGACTCGAGGAAGTCTCCATCGTTTATCACTGAGTTATACTGATTACAGAGACTTCAGACAAAGTGCCGTCTCCCACACAGCTCAACTCACTCCAACCTCCAGGGTCGCCGTGCATATTGTCAAGTCATCGTACATTTAGCATGTTGCTGACCTGGAAATCACACTCCATGTGATCCGCCCCGCAGCTCGCCTCGAGAGCGTGCGTGGTGCTTGTATGGGAGCCAGACTCCAAACCCTGACAGAGGAACAAGTAAACACGAGTGGGTGGGGTGTAATGTGTGGAATAATCAAACCCAGCGTGCGAGCCGGAGCCACAGAAATGATAGATGTGCATTCCTCCGTGTCACACAATTGAAACACATTAGAAATGGTTCCGTCAGATTTTTTTTTCCAAATCATTTGCATCATTTTATGCCCTCACGCGACAAAACATTCATGTCAAATTTCCGTTCACGTCACTGATATATCCTTCGTCTTTACTGGTGCGTACGTCATTAAGAAGCATCAAAGACCGTGTGGCCGTTATCAATATCTCAGGCTTGCGCTGCTATCTTTAGCCAATATGTGCTCATAGCCATCTGGAGCATTCTCAGCGTTTTATTTAAACATGGCTGCGTCACATTGTGGGAGAAAGAAAGCCTCCACCAGACGCTCTGGGATGTCTGTTTACGTCAGGTCGACTTGGGAGCCTGCGCACGCATAGTATGCTGCGTGCGTATGTCTGTGTGTGCCTTGGCCTGCGATGCCCCCCTCCTACCCCCTCATGTGTGCCCGCACACCTGTTTCCTCAGCGCCCGGGACTCGTCGTGTGCACATCAGAATGAAGGCCTTTGAAGCAAGCCTCATTGCTTCCTGTATGACTGTCCGAGGGCCGCCGGCTCCTACGCATTCACTTTATTATGGCACTCTCATTCAGGGAAAACTTGATTTCACCAGCTGGATTTCTCCTGGTGATAGACAATTCCCTGGCAAAGCCCTTGGAAGCGGAGCTTAACAGATGTGAGTGCGGACTGAATGGGGAGGCACCTTCTTCCATGCATTGTTATTACAGTACTTGTGAACACATTGACCCGTTATTCATGACCCATGTACGGTGGCATTATACATATACAGTGCGACCTTGAGTTACCAGTACCCCGAATTACGATTCATTTCCATTTCCAGGCCAAAATTTTAGTTTTGGTCATCCTCGGATAAGCTTGAGGCAAGTACTGCAAATTTTTAAAAAGGAGTCATTAAGATACTGTAATGCCCTCACATGTGGGCAAGGAGAGCTGCACTCACGGATGCATTTTCACGTTGACTCACGGGTAAAACAGAAATCAAAAATGAGAACGCTTGCAAGGAGCTGCTAGGTCTCGGCCACTCCCAGATGCTCACATGCAGACTAACAGCAGCTTCACTCCCTAGGCCACGCCCCTTAAAGGCACACAGTCAACACACAACTAGCACATACAGTAATAGCACTTTTTATAACCCAGTTCATTTCTTTACTTTTCTCTTATATTGTTTATTTGGTAACAGTATCAGACCTTATTTCAAGGTATCTGGTACTCTTGAAAGCTGCAGATACCAGCTACCGATACTTAAGGCAAAAATAATCATCCTCCTTGCCAGTAGTTGGCATTGCATGACAGTAGTTTGAATCAGTGACGAATCAGAATGTGCGTCAGAAAGAAAGGTCTTTTTTCCCCGCAATTATCTGTCACTATGTTAATTGGAATTTCATACACAGTATCAAAAGTAACGGTGAGTACTTCGACTAAATACTCGTACTACACTGAAAAAAGAAGATCCATTGAATTTACTTAGTTTGAACTGGTCCATCGCTTTCACGTGATTCAAATATGGTAAACCGAGGTCATTTTCCTAACGACATCTGTTAGTTGCGCACATTTTAATCTCGTGCAATGTAGAATCAAGTATTTTTTTCGGTGCACTATCATGTGAAAAAAGTGGAAGTGAACATCATTGAGAACATTAAAGCAATTGTGTTTTAGAATTAAAATATGACTTTTTTTTTGTAGACATGCCATCATTGTGTTCGTGTAAAGGCAAACAATATTTACGATCAATGAATGATGTAATCCTTCTAACTCGTTCCTGCTTTAGACTACTGTTATATCGTGGCTCCAGTCTGCCTACATTCTTCCGTCATCACAGGTTGTGTGCCCAATCAAGCCAAGGAAT